GTATGGTAGCTCTATTTTCAACTTTTTGAGGAACCTCCATACTGTTTTCCAGAGTGGCTGCACCAGCTTGCATTCCCAGCACCTGTTAGCTAATTTAAAAAGAATCTGAAGGTTGTGAATGACCTTACGCAGATCTGTTAGAAACATCAAGTGTTTGATTGGGGTGGATTATCCAGATTGCTGGTTCCCAATGAATGAATTTAGAAAGTGGCTTAGTTCTCATCCAGAGTTTTCCAAAAGAGAATGCAAGTTTATATTCAGTTTTACTGAGTTGACTATTTCCAAGGTGGTTTCTTAAAACTTGGGGATTTCACAAAATACTAAAATTTGAAAACTTTTAGAACCGACATAAGTAACAATATTTTCTCAGGTATGAGGATATTTAAACCATAGCCACCATTCATTATCACCACCGTTTCATTAAACAATTTAACATCAAAATTTCACAAAATGGACTACTAGCAACTTTACACTGACAATAAACACTGGGAATATTTAAGTGTTTAAAACTAATTGCAAATGCAATAGAAGGATCACACCAATAACGTTTTGCAATGTTACACTTTATGCTATTGTTTTATTGATACAGGTTTGTCAGTCTGGAGATCTTAAGACGTTTGGGGTCCCCCAAAATAATTTTAGTGTTATGCAAAATGGAGTCCAAATGGCCACTTCTGTCTAGTACTTTTGTTTTTTATCACAGTCATTGTTGAAAACCCGTTTTCATCTGGATATGTGAAAATGGAAGCAACTCTTCTGAGGCTACTTTAGTCAATTCAGAATATTCTGCGTAAGAACAGCAGGCCTATCTCCAGACAGGGCTAAAATTAGCAAGGACAGACTGGGTGACCAGTTCACAAGCACTGCAGTAAAGGTCAGTGGGATACAGCTGCCTTCAAGCAGGGCTGCAATCTGAGACTTTAGCCCTGAGTGCCAAACTGAAAGCTCTCTGGGAATTAGCGAGGGGAGAACATAGCTGCAGGACGGAGACTACCAGTCTGTAGACAAGCCATTGGATTAACTGGTATTATGTACTTAAGCCAAAGCAGCACACTACTCACCACTATACATTGCTTGGGTACTGGTTCATCATTAGGTTTTACAGACTGAACAAAGGACAGATAAAAAATAATTTTTTGAATGAAGAACCAATTCTTATAAGCACTGAGTGAAGTAGAGATGTTGTTAGAAGACACTTGGATCCCAAAGACAGTCTTTGAGCTCCATTAAATCTGCTAACCCAACTGAGAACTGATGAAAAGGGAAAATAAAAGTTTCTTATAAACTCACAGGGATCTGATTGTTCTCCCTGAGTACCTTGAAGAAGGCAGTAAGGAATTTAATTTGAGATTGCCAATTTCTTTTCCTAGATACACATTTGTTCAGGGGGTAAGGATTTTTTTTTTTTTTTAAACCTTGGTGAACATTCCTTCCATAAAACAAGCCTTCTTAATCCAATTTGGGTTGAGGGCAGCCTAGTGGGATAGAAGGTATAATCATCTATGATTCAGGAAGTCAGCTTTATAATCGCCAGGCTGACCTTGAACAAATCAACCTCTCTTGTCCCTTGTTTCTTCATTTATAATAAGAATCAAAAAGCCCTCTCTGACTCTTAACATGGCATGAAACCAGGGCAAATGTTTT